TTATGGGATACTCAAATGTAGATTAGGCAAGCTCTCCCATTGATAGGATATCAACTTTAGGATATTACGTCTTTAATGGTAAGAACTTTATTTCTTGGAAAAGCAATAAAAGAATGCACTAGCCAAATCTAAAGCAGAAGTAGTGCCTAGCATTATGGCTTCTACCACTTGTAAACTTATTTGGCAAAAACTTAAAGAATTGTGATTTGGACAGGTTACACATAATCTCTCATTTACGATAACCAAGTTGTCCTTCATATTACCTCAAAACCAAAATTTCACCACAAGACCAAATATATTGGGATAGATTGTCACTTCATTCGTGAAAAGGTTGTATGTATAGACATTAATATTCAAATTACTAACTCTAATAATCAGTTGTCAGATGTCTTCGCCAAATCATTGCAAGGTCCTAAAATTATAACATTTTTAATAAACTCTGCATCTGATTTATAAGAATCAACTTGAAGAGGAGTGTTAGATGTATTTTCATTATATAGGTCTAGGCCTATCTCTATGTAATGTATTGAGTTAATACATAATGTATTCCTTTGTTATTCTTAAGACACATGGATTCATTCATATCAACTTACATCTTATATTCTTACACAGACCAAGGACTTGGGTCACTTAGGTACTTTCTTAGCATCAAAGTTCCTTGCCTAGCATTGCAATTTCCCAAACGGAAATATACTTTAGACATTTTGATCAAAACTAGTATGATTTATTGTCACCCCAACAATGGTCCTGTGGATCCTAATTTGAAGCTTCTTTCATGTCAAGGAAAGTCATCCTGGAAGATACTTTTGTCTGGTAGGCAGACTTAATTACCTAACTAAACTAGACACCACATATGTAGTTAGCATGGTTAACCAATTCCTAAATGCCCATGTGATTGTCATTGGAATGTGGTGATACACATACTTTGATACATCAAGAATGAACCAGGTTGTAGTTTAATATATGTAGATAAAGGAAATTCCAAAAATGTTAGTTATTTTTATGATAATTGCAAAGGATCATCATTAGATAGGAGGTCACTTTTGGATATTATCTCTCATTTGTAGAAACTTGATTTCTTGCATTAGCAAGAAGCAGAAAACAGTTGCTAAAAGCAGTACAGAAGTTGAGTATCAGGTTGTGACAACAGTTACATGAAAGAACATGGCTTAAGCAAATTCTCCATCATTTAAAATTTGGAGATACATGGGATACTTAACTAATATTTGAATGATTATAAGTAAAGGATTTACATGTGTGATTAAACACACAATTCACAACAACAAAGAAACTCTTTAGGAATTACTGTATTGAATATATTCAAATGAAATGTAGATATATTACACACACAAATGGAAACACACGTACTCATATCACAACAACGGGACCAACTATGATATATTCAACTCCTTTTTACCTGAATTAGTTCACGTGCAACTTGGGGAGAAATATCAACTGCTTTCTGGTAGCACTCATAAGCAGCAGCTGAATTTCCATCTGACTCGTGTTCAACTGCACGTACAAAATTATCCTTTCTAACCCTGCACTTATAGCATAGAAAATACTTGTTTCATGCACAAAAGTACAAAGACTCTCGATGAGATTTTAAGGTTCTTAAACCTGCACAGAAATCAAAGAACTCCTCTTTGGTGATATTGTAATAAGGTTCACACTTTTATTTCTTATCCTTTAATACTTAATAATGTGTTATTTTCAAACGTATTGGAGAAAGACTATAAAATTCAGACAAGTGATAATGTGTTATTTTCATAGGTACTGGAGAAAGATTGGTTCTTCAGTATCTTAGCTTCAAAACTATTACATTATTTATCAGTTCCACAACCAAATCATTAAAAGTGTTCCTTTTCTGTAGTTCTTACTAAACCAAATCGGTTTTACCTCAATATTTGAAACAACGGAGCAATCAACAAACAGCATAAAAAACTTTCATTTCATCTAGAACAGAAATGGAAATCTTTTCGCAATTTGAGATCATAAACCTGACATCGTTGCTATTTCAACAAATTATGCTTGTGTATAAGAACCTGACAAGCACAAGCACAGAGACAGCTAGACAGGGCTTAGGAAAATTTTGTTCAAAATAGTCAGCTTATATCATTATGGATAATTGTCCTACATGCAGACGCATTGTACACTGGGGAAGTGAAATCCCACGAAGGGAGCAAATAAGGCAAATGTAGACTGGTGTTCCAAGAACGTGAGAAACTCTCAAGAAAAGCACTGATTATTGTGGCTAGAACACAAGAAGATAACTCAATCCAAAAAACTAGTTCAACCAATCAAAGAACCTCATAGCATAAGAACCACATTAAAATTCATATTCTAATCAATGGAGAATTCAACATTAACACCTCCTAGAAGAAACAACATCTCCAACAGTTTCACACTATCAACATGAACCCTACCCAACAGTGGCAAGTTGATGACTTCATTCTCCTTTCAGTATTCAGTTCATATACCTTAATCTAACCTATACACAGCCCTTTCAATCCAAAAGCACTAATTGTTATGACTTAAGCAGATATAGAGAATTCAAACCAAAAAACTAGTCCACTAAGTGGTAAGGCATCATATATTAAGTACCACATTAAGCTTATTATTATACCTAACGTACATAGGACTCGTAACATACATGAAAGCATCCCATTAATAATTGAGGTATCACTCAACTCAACAAAAATTACTTTCAAAAACAATCAATAAAGAAAAACGAAATTCAACGTTGTAAAGACATAAAGAGCACCTGGCACGCTTGATCTCTTGTTCACTCTTCATTGGCAGAAGTCCTCCGTCAAACACTAGAATGGGCTTAACCCCATAATGGCGCAGCAAATTGACTCTGTGCATGCAATACTCAATGTGCCTAAAACCCACCAATACACACACAAAATAAACTAAGTTAAACAGAACACCCAGTTTGTATGTAGTTAAGCCCATTTCAAAAAATCAAACCTTTACGAGCCAGGTTTCTGCAAACAATGAATCCAAGAAAACCCCAATAAAATAACAGTAAGGCAAAAGCTAAAAGGGAAGCGACCTGGTAGTGGGTATCCCTTTGCAGAGTTCGGTGCTGCAAGAAAGGGCACCTTTGTGGAGCCAAGAATAGGTGTCTACCGCTACTGAACAACCCTTCAAGTCCTTGATATTGATTGGAACCATAATCGATTTCAATAGCGGCAAAAACCCCTGAATTCCCATTCCTCTTTGAAGAATCTACTAAGCTACCAACAACACAATACATTTCATATATGCAAGAAAATTGGGCGCCAAAACTTATGTTGCCTTTATTTATTTGCCCTTTTTACGTGTTTTTCGCTTCATTTATTTGCTCTTTTCGCGCGTTTTATATAAATTATTTTCATTATATGCTTAATTATTTTATGAAGGGGAATGGAATAACAGAAGTGGAAAATATCGAAATTCTAAATAAAAAATGGTTTATTATTACTTGAAATTGGGTTTGAGAAGGTGAAAAACAAATAAATATTATTTTGTATTATTTTAATGGGATATTATTGTATCTTATCTGATGTGTATACTCTGATTTCAGAAAATTTAGTGGATACTATTTATTTGTCATTATTTTGTTCACTTTTGAATATTGAAAATTAACATTTTATTGCATTGATTAAATAATGATAAAAACTTATTTGATTCCTTGTCTTTTTATTTTACTAAATATTAACACTTACACTATGCCCCATTAAAAATTAGACTTAAATATAATTGTAATTCTTTAAATTTGAGTTTTCTTTGGTTCTTTAAATTTAAATTTAAATTTTAGCCTCTAAATTAAAAAGAAAATGTATTTTATATCCATCAATACTGTCACATTATTACCATTCCTACGTGGTTAACGGTATTGTTGTAACTAAAAACATGTATAATTACAATGATGTAAAAAAATCAGTTTTTAAATTCTTTAGTTAATTTTTTTTAATCCCTTAAATTTATGTCAGATTTTATTAAATTTAAAAAAAGATTTTTAGTGTCATTTAAAAATGTATGCTACGATAGACATTATGGCATATTAAAACAAAGACATCATATAATAAAAGTACAATCTCTTGCTTCATATATTTATTTGATTTCTACCCTCCAAATACGACTTTGATTATAAACTGTAATGTCGGACCTAAATTTAAGGTGTGAAGTTTTATACATAAACATAAATTTTAGGGAATTTCTTCCTGCATCTTCCTTCTTGTACCTGTGAGGGCCTGGAAATTTAACAAAGGGTCTTTGGGCCTTATGTGGGGCAGCCAGGCCCATCAGACTAAGGTCAATTTGACCTTAGGAGGGGCTCTTCAGAACCCATTCTCTTCCTTGAACCTCATTTCTTTTCTCTCTCTAAACTCTTGTGCCCTAAAGCTCTCTCTGCCTTCTCTCTAGATTTCCAACTCTCTGAACCATAAGAATTCGAGATAGGCACTGCTCAAGCGTTCGCGGCGTAGGGAGCTTCATTTCTACCGAACGTTTTCTCCGTTCCAACCGGGTGTGGTGGAATTTTCGTGTGTGAGACACTATAAAGGAGCGTTCCTGTGAGCTTGGTAGTTCAACTCCGAGGTAAGGGGAGCTAGATCCTTTTCTATGGGTTGAAATTATATTTTGATATTTGCTGCATGAATTGTATGCTGGAAATTTGTGATTGTGGATGTGGTTGGGCTGAGATGATATTTGAGATTGGTATGTTGATGTATGTATTCTGTTGGAGGGGTGATCAAGTGGAAGGTAAGGAAAGTATACACTGTTTTGAACAAGCTGATAGAGTCTTGGGTCACTTTGAGAGGAAGTGAGGTAGTGATTTTGGGAAGTAAGGATTTTGAGTACATTTGGGCTGTTGGGATATCTTAGGTAAGTCATTTGTGACTTGTTAGAGTCATCAAACTGATCAAAACAGGTGTAAAATGGTTGTTGTCAACTGGTATGGGGCTGGACGACATCTGGTTCGCGCCCAGCGCCCTTCGGGGGCGCCCAGGCGCGAGAGTCTCGGAAAAAGTCGCGCCCAGCGCCCCTCCTATGGCGCCCGGGCGCGAGGTGTTCGCAGAAAGTGGCTTTGTCTTTGTTTTTGATAGTTTTTGGGGTTCCGGATGTCCGTTTTGGACGTTTCTTAAGTCGATTTGGAGGTTTTGAACCCTTCTGGAACTGTTGGTGATGGTTTCAAAGCCATTTTCTTTGTCTAAGTATGATTTACGGGGTTTTGTGTTGTTTAGTGGTTCTCTTGGGACTGTTATTGTCTGGTAATGTGTATTGGATAGATTAATGTTGTTTGCTTAACAGATTGTCTTGTATGTGGGATGTTTGGAATGCATAGTATGATGAGATTTATGTGGAAAGTATATGAATGTATGATTAATATTGTTTGCTTAACAGATTTTCATGTACATTATGTATGAGGTATGAGTGGTTGGAAATAATGTGGTTGTGAACTATAATGATGTATGTGAGTATGAATTGGACATCTCAGGGTGAGATGACTGAAAGTGGTTGTGTGGGGTGTTGATGTTGTTCTGTATAACTGTATGGAGCTTTGAACTGGTATGTCTATCCCTACACTCGAAGCACTGTTCATACTCAGATAGAGGAGAGCAGTGTAAGTGGTGAGAGTAGAGGGAGGTCCTCGTCTATAGTCTTAGAGTTTAGACATAGACAGATTGGGGGATTTACCTTGCATAGTGTTGGGGAGTGCCAGCTGAACTACGCAAGTGCAAAGACGACCAATAGTTCGATAGTTATACAAATCCGGATGAGTCGTGTGAGTGTTTGAGTCATGTTTT